TGCCTTGCATGCAGCTGACCCAGATTTGATCCCCAGCATCCCATATGGTCCCCGAGCACTGCCAGGAGTAATTTCTAAGTGCAGGGCCAGTAGTAGCCTCTGAGCATCACTGGATGTGACTCCAAAGCAAAAAAAGAAAGAAAAAAAAGAATTTTAATTATTTTTAAAGATTTATTTTTAATTATATATTTTTAAATGAATACATTTATAGAAAAAAGATGACTCTATCAGAAACCAGAAGACATCTCTTCTTTTGTGTGACTTTCAAGCTTTCTGGGTTTTAAGCTATTATCTTTAAAATTCATGTGTCAATATTTAGCTCTCTGACAAATTAAAATTTTTTAAATTTTTTTGTTATCATTATTGTCTAAATTTCTACTCACTAAATGAATCTATTTTCAGCTGTTGGATATAATTTCCAGTTCTAAGAACTACAGTTACTTTATCTTTAAAATTTTTAAGCAAGTATTAAGACTTCAGAATAAAAGAGCCCATGCTACAATAGTTTATATTTTTAGTAATAAAAATTGAAGAAATGATATTTGGAATATATAGAATGCATGAAACTTTACATTCAGAAAAACAATTCATATTCATTTAATTTTAATCTATCCCAGAGGGCTGGAGCGATAGCACAGTGGTAGGGCGTTTGCCTTTCAAGCGGCCAACATGGCTGACCTGAGTTCGATTCCTCCGCCCCTCTTGGAGAGCCCGGCAAGCTACTGAGATTACCTCGCCCACACGGCAGAGCCTGGCAAGCTCCCTGTTACGTATTAGATATGCCAAACACAGTAACAACAAGTCTCATGACTGAGACATTACTGGGCCCGCTTGAGCAAATCAATGAACAACGGGAGGACCATGACCAATCTATCCCAGAATTTTACAAACTAACTCTTTCAGGAGGGGAAGTACTTGAAAAATCGATGTAATATACTCAATTTTTAAATAAGTGGTCCTCCTTAAAAACAAAGAATAAAAGTCTCTAGAAAGGCTTTTGTTTTATCTTTTTGTTTATTTGTAAAAAGTTTTGGTGTAAATTATTAACAAGCCAGTATTTTTAACTTAAACTATGAGATGTAAGGGGAAGTTGAAAACACTTCAGAAAGAATCTAACCTGCAAAATTCATTTCCAATGCTCCAAGTTTAAGAAGAGCTCTGAAAAGCAGCAGTTCAAGTAAAAATGAATAAAACAGCAATCAAAGTGAAAATATTAATCTGTAGAAGGGAGTTGCAAATCCCAATAAAACTGGTTTTACTAGACATTGCATTTCCTGACAAAGCATCTATAAAGTCTCACTGAGTCCAAATGATTATAAGGACCACGAAAGATATACCAGGTAATCTTGGAGGAAGCATTAACATGGGCATGGGTTAGTAAAGGTAAAAGAAAAAAGCAATTGTAGTGCATCTTAAATTCATTAAAATATTACTAGTTAGAAATATTACAAGATAGAAAAAGTGTACTTCAACATATAGACTACATGTAGCATTATCTGTATAATAATTAGCCTACTTTGTAAAGTTGCTATTTATATTCAGTATTGACTTTTCACTATTTTGATGTTCTCATAATAATTTCTTGTCAGATATTATTTGCTGTAGAAGTGCTTGAGTCTTAATAAAAGAAGCCCAACATCCAGTAGTATGAATGCTGGTGCCAGGTGGGGAGGCACTATTTTAACTTTCATGACTTATATTTTTATCTTTTTTTACTAGAGTGGATAAGGGAATTTATCAGCACATAGTATGCCACTGTGCCAATTGGTAAACTAGCCTTATTTGTCAGCATATCTTAAATGTGCTAATTTGACATATCCATCTTCACATCAAATTATTTTCAAAAGTCAAAATTAAAAATTTGTGTCTTATTCAGCAAAATTTTAAATATTGTACATATGAAATTAGAGCACTTGGGAACTGAACTTGGCACAATGATGTTGAGACTTCTCCAGGTGTTGACTGCTTAGTGGTGAAGCTATGTAAATGAGTACATATACCCCCCCCCCAAAAAAAATAAGCAACTAGGAATCAGGTGGTTTGATTAGTCAAATTTGTTTTTCCTAAGATAGCAGAGTAAGCATATTATGACATTGATTTATGTAAATATAATTAAAACAACAAAAAAGGAATAAAAATGCATAGTCTCTGTTGCGAGGAAATTTTATTTTGAATAAATATAGTGATTCAAAAGAGACTTTGCATTGGGTAATAGATAATTGTTGCTTTAAAAAAAGGTTTTGTTGGGCCACAGCAATAGTACAGCGGGTAGGGCGTTTGCCTTGCATGCTGCTAACCTGAGTACAATCCCCTGACATCCCATATAATCCCCCAAGCACCGCCAGGAGTAATTCCTAAGTGCAGTGCCAGGAGTAACCCCTGAGCAAAATGCAAAAAAAAAAAATTGTTTTTTTCTGTAAACTTTTTTTTCCTATTTGAAAAGATTTATTCCCAGAGTGAGAGATTGTCAATCAAAGATCCTATTAGCTAAGGAAAATCTACGTTTAGAACACTAAATAAGTTGGCAGAAGTAATAATAGTACAGTGAGTGCTTGCTGTGCACGTGGTTGAACTGCATTTGACCCCCAGCAACCCCATAAGGTTCTCTGAACTTGGTCAGGTGTGGTCTCGAAAGGAAGAAAACTAGAAAAAACTACAAAGTGTCTACCTACCACATCAGAGGAATCTTGTCATGAGTGAAGGAGACACAGGAGGGGCCTGAGCAATAGTACAGTGGATAGGGCCTTGCATTACAAGCAAACCGGGTTCGATCCTTGTCTCCAGATAGGGTCACTGAGCTCCACGAAGTGAATCCTAAGCGCAGAGCCAGGAGTTCGCCTTGAGCACCACTGGGTATGTCCCTGCCCACCTTTCCCAATAAAATTAACCAAAAAAAAACAACCCTTATAAACAACAAAAATAAATATGAAATAACACAGGAACACCAAGGAGAGAAAAGTCAACTGTGGCTAGACATAAAGACATTTTAAACTTTGCTATATGTAGAACCCTAGATATTTCTGTTTAAATGAGTCAATACATTTCTTACTTTCCCCCTATGCTAGTGTTGAGTTTCTGTTACAACCAAAGAATCCTGACCAACATGACAGGTTTGGTTGTTTATATCTAATTTCTTGAAAGTAGGAATATCAATTCTTATAAATATATAACTCAATACACAGAAAAAGTATTTCAAAATCAAATAACAAGTGTACTATATTAATCTGCACTTAATATTTATAACAGATACTATGTTTTAAAAAACTATGTTAAAAATATCCTTCATTAAAACCATGACATAACAGAATTTCTTTTATAAAACTGTGTATCTAGAATCCAATCATCCGATTTTGAATTACTATTTAGTCAATTATTAACTCTGAATTTTACTTCTCTTTACCTCAAGTCCCTTAATTATAATTTTAAGATTACCACGGAACTGTTTAGTTACCCTCCATGCTTCAAAAATTTATCTTACAATATATTTTTTCTTTTTTTTTTTTAACTAAACATAAGTTAGTCCCTGTTTTGGCTAACTTAAAGAAATCCAGAGAGGATTTCTGCTTTTCTGACAATAGCATAGAGAAAACTAATTTCAGCTATTGATGCATTGGCAGCGTGCACCAAACAGAGAAAGAACAGCATGGCCTGCTCCCTTCCCAGAAACTTCTTTATATGGGCTATGCCTTATTATTGCAATCCTACTTTCACTATGTTAATGTTACTTTTGGTTTTATGATTAAGCTTTTTTTTTTGTACGATCTGGTAGATTATTTTCTGGGTTGGGGAATAATAAATTTTCACTGCAAATTCCTGGAAATTGATTTTTTTGCTTTGTACCATTTTAGTTGATGGACATTTCACAGGAAATGCTCTATTCTTGGATATCAGGAAAAACTTGTATGTGCAAAAGGCATAATAGGTAGACAATAATGTTAGTTATTATCATTAATGCAATTTGGGTATTCAGAGCATTCTCCATCATACAGGAGATTATTAGTGGCAGCCACAGGAATATTCAGGTTGCAAGAAAGAAATTAACTTGCGTTGGTGATTCGGGTAGATGACAGGCAGTCTGGGAAGTACCCTGGAAATATTCTGGGTAAAAGCCAACTGATCTGCTAACCTGGAAAGTTAATGCGAGACCTGCTTGCATTAAGAGACATCTGTGCCCCAGTTAGAGTCTTTATATATGAGCAAAAGGAAAGCAAAATGGAAGCAAACATTTTATATTATTTATTTTGATAAAAAATTGCATTGTTGAGGAATTTTTAAATAATCTGGGTTTTGTAACAATGGTTATTTGTTTTTTAAACCCTAAATATTGGATAATAGCACATATTTTGAAAACAATTTTAATATTATCTGTGCATATGTAAGAAAAACTTATGATCTCCCTTACATATGAAAGAGAGTAAAAAGGACAAATCATCTGCCATTAAGATCTTCCTACTACATTTTATGGGATTATTAGGCTTTTTGTGTCACTTAAGGTGACAAAGTCAAAAAATGAGAAGTATGTTTTTTTGGTAAAAAGGCTAGATGGGGACAAAGCAGAAAGAAAATAGGTAAAGAGAATTTCTTGGATAATTTATAGGCAGTTCCAGTACAACTAGCTAGGTTATAACCTACCAATACATTCTTGTAGATCTATGTGATTCAGCAGGGAACTATTTATGCTCAGAAAACGTTTATTGCTGTCACCTATTCTATGATTTACTCAGGAATTCAGTCAAAAAGCTATCCTTAGTAAACTGTAATCCACATTTACTCATAATTACCTCATTTCTAGAAGAGATAGAAGAGGACATTCTATAGGTTGGCCTATAACTTCCCCTAAACACTTGCCCAAGATAGAGAAAAAATGTTTCCATAATTCTAAATTTTTTCAAATTTGCAATGTTAAATGTGCATAAAAAGGATGATTCTAAGTTCGACATAATTTTGGAGTTGTAAACAAGCTGTAATCTTTGGGCTTTAATCTACAAAGACCTTCTGCACTAGACACCAGTTTTGGACTTGATCCAGTTTCGAAAGTGTGTCACTCGAATGTAGACACCAGGTTTGTTTGGAAGAGCACATTCATCTCCCCAGCTTATAATACCAGCTAGGAACCAAATGCCTTTTTGATCTTCACTAACTAGTGGTCCACCAGAGTCACCCTGCAGAGAAAAAGGACATATACAATTAGTATAATTTAAAGGTGGATCACTGCTTTTCTTTGTCAGAAGAAAAAAACTTAGATACTTCAATATTAAATTGGCGATGATGTGGAATATTTTGTATTCAATAATCATTTAGTTAAACAAAGATATCAATTTTTGTCTTTGTGTATAAAAATATAACAATGCAATAAACAATTTCAACTCACCTCTGACCCAAAAGTGATACTGAAGAATAGCTGTTTATGTAACTACCACTATGTCGAAAAATTCTGATTACCTTCTCATGCACCTTTATTTTCAGGAAGGTGCTGAGGGAAAAAAGAAGGATTTATATTCACCAACTCCCAGTATTACACTATTATCCTTCCATTTTTGTGAAAAAATCGTATCAATTTTCATAATTGTGTAATTTTTAAAATTATACTCCTTATTGTTTTATCTATACATGCTTTGACCATTTTCTCAAAAAGATGATGGATTATCTTAGCATCTGGATTTTCATTTTGTGTCAATCTTTCCCAATTTGTTAGATAATTTCAACACCTACACATCTAATAACTTAGAACATAGTTCTTGGTTTCCTTAATTTTGATCAACCACATATTTATTAAACTTTTCCATGTCACTACTGTCATTTCAAACTTCCTTAACTCTCAAATGACATTATTCAGTATTACTATTGCATATATTTATCCCTTTAATTGCACCAGTTTTTTATTCAATATTTTTTGCTCTCTATCTGCTTGTCAGTTTCATCAAGTGTGTTAGTCATCACTGAGACAATAGTGGAGGCCAGCAGTTGCTCTGGTGGAGGGTGAGGGGTTCCAGCATTGTTTGCAGGAATCCTGATCCTGAACAGCTATTGCCACAAATAACATAAATTTAAAGAAGGTTAATTCTTGGATTCTTCTCTTTCTCTTGGTGTACAACACCATGAGGTACAGTTGTAGATTTACAAATTGTTGTGCTTGGGTTTCAGTTATACAATGATCGAATACCCATCCCTCCACCAGTTCCCATTCTCCACCACCACTGATCCCAGTATCCCTCCCACCCCCCATCCCCCGCATCCCACCCTGCCTCTGTGGCAGGGCATTCCCTTTTGTTCTCTCTCTCCTTTTGGGTGCCGTGGTTTGCAAAAGAGGCATTGAGTGGCAATCATGTTTTGAGAGATTTTTTTAAACTAGGCATTATGCCTTCAAGTTAATAGCATGTTACAGAAAATAAGGCTCCAGATCTGTACTCTGAAAGCTTACTGTAGCTTTTATCTCCATTATGTTTCAAACAAATAACTCTGGTGCTCTTTATGAACAATTCTTTTGAGATAATAAAGTGCTACTATATATATCTAGGTAAAGTACAGAATCAGTTACAAATCTAGGAAGGGGGACTGGAGCGATAATACCATGGGTAACGTGCTTGCCTTGCATGCAGCTGACTTGGTTTATCCCTGGCATTCCATATGGTTCCCTGAGCACTGCCAGTATTGTCTCTAAATACATGTGTGAATTTAGAAAAATTGCTTGACTCTCTATATCAGTATTATATTCAGATAAGTAGAGATTTAAGTGTAGAAACATACCTCATAGAATTGCTATACTTGAATAAATTTGTTATTTGTAAAGAACCTCAAACAACAAATGACAGTTGCTGTTGTTCTGCAAGTACAGTTAAATAAATAAAATAAAATTTAAGGTGATGGAATCAGACTAAGAGAATTCCACATTCATTAGGTTTGGTGCCAAATCCCCTATTGACTGTCTCTCAGTAGAAAAGACAAACCAAATTGAAGTTAGCAATAGTCAATTTAATTTCTTCATTGTTTACTCTAAATTAATTCACTTCCTACTCCTGCTTACCCCTTTTAGAACAGGGGTTTAACATTTTCATTTCCTTAATCAGTCTTGTCATATATAAATATAATTCATTTAGCTATTTTCATTATAAATGATGTTTAAATATTTAAAATAAGTCATTCTTTTGATATAGTGTAGTAGTTAATTGGAAGTTAAAGCTACAAGAAAGTAAATCTTGAAAATGAAACACACAGAATTACCTGGCAGGCATCCACTCTTCCTTCTAAGAACCCAGCACACAACATTTCAGGTTCGATTACACCACCATACACCTGTTCACTATTGCAGATCTTATTATCTATAATCTTCACTAGTCCTTTTTGGAGTATATTAGGACTGCTTCCTAAATAAGTAGAATTAAACAATTTTACTAGGGTCAGTATTGATCTCTATGGCTGGATTATTAGTTTCTAACCCTTTACACACTTTCCAAATAAATAAAGTATATGTTTTAATTAAGCTTTTATTTATATCTTTTCTTTGCAAAATACCTTTTAATACACTGTAATTGGTTAAAGCAATCCTATTTAGAAATATTTAAGTATCTATGTTCATCTGTGATGATATTTTTCTCCTTTGGATTGTTTTTGCAATTTCATAATTTATTACATCTTAAAAGACACCCAAAATTAAATTCTAGAGTCTAGTTTCTGTTTTGAATTTTTTTAAATTAAAGAACTGTGATTCACAACGTTATCGATAGTTGAGTTTTAGGAATATAATATTTCAACACCAATTCTTCCACCAGTGTTCCCATATCCCATCCCCACTGCCACCTGTGCCCTGCCCTAGAGTCTAGTTTCCTTTTTTTTTTAAGCTTTTTGGGCCACACTTGGCGATGCACAGGGGTTATTCCTGGCTCTGCACTCAGAATTACTCCTGGCAGTGCTTGGGGACCATATGGGATTCTGGGAATCAAACCTGGGTCAGCCATGTGCAAGGCAAATGCCCTACCCTCTGTTCTATCGCTCCAGCCCCAGGTCTAGTTTCTTAAACTGTGGCTATGACTGCATAAGAGGTCACATAACTAAATGTGGGGTTGTGAAAATTTGACTATGGTAAAAAGCTTCTGAATGGGCAACAATCAAAAAATAATTCAAAATCAGCTGTCTATTGCATCAGAAGTATTTGGGCCATTCTTGCTTGTGTTGCATTTCTGAGGCATTAAAGGGTCACAAGTGAAAAAAGATCAATAACTGAAAAAAGATAATATTTAGATTTTCTACAATTGTTATAATTATGAACTGTAGAATTAAGTTTATACTTGCTTTTTACTGCTTTCAAGTGCAGCATTTGCAAACACAAATAGCCATCAAATTTTTACATTATTTGGATTAAAGGGAGGCATGCATTTAAGTTGTTCTTACATAATAGATGACTTCTCATTTTAATTCATAAAAAAGCCTCAATATTCTATAGATCCCAGGTTTCCAATGGTATATAGCCGCAAAGCGGCTGTGCGACACATTATTAGAAACTTTCTACCCATTTATGCCTCTTGGAGAGCCCGAAAAGTTATCCTGCCTGTACGGGCAGAGCCTGGTATGCACCCTGTGGCATATTCGATATGCCAAATACAGTAAAAATAGGTTTAGAGACAATAGGTCTCATTCCCCTGACCCCGAAAGAGCCTCCAATCGTTGGGAAAGACGAGTAAGAAGAGGATGCTAAAATCTCAGGGCTGGGAGAATAGAGACGTTGCTGGTGCCCACTCGAGGCCATCCCGACGTTCAACGGGCTGGCAGTGATACAGTGATATACCTATATAAAATAGGCTTTTTAATCTACTTATTTATTATACTTTATGACTATTATCTTAATATAAAAAGATAAGAGGGCAGGAACATTTGCCAATTTTATTTATAAATGAAGTCACTCAAAATAGTACTTAGAATAAAGTCACTGTCACTGTTCTCCCGTAGTTCATAGATTTGCTCGAGCAGGCCCAGTAATGTCTCCATTGTGAGACTTTGTTGTTACTGTGTTTTACATATCAAATATGTCACAGGTAGCTTGCCAGGCTTTGCCTCGTGGGCAAGATACTCTCAGCAGCTTGCCAGGCTCTCGGAGAGCGGGGAAGGAATTGAACTTGGGTCGGCCATGTTGGCTGTGTGCAAGGCAAATGCCTTACCCGCTGTGCTATCGCTACAGCCCGCTTAGAACAAAGTAGATAATGAAAATAAATTTTGATTGAATAAATGCATAAAATGGAGAAAATAAGTTAGCTATTCAAATAGTGTATTTCTGTAAAATTTTCATTGTTTAGAAAAATTATGCCAACTTACTTTATAATGTAATTATTATTGAACACTGAGGATAATCTTCAATCAGTTGTACATTATCCTCTTTTGAATTATCCAGAAAAAGTATTTCTCAAGTTCTGTTATGTTAATGATGTTTTTATTATTTAATGCTGAAAACACAAGTCATAAAATGGAGAAAGGTTGCAAACTCACCATCACTTTTTAATGTTCCCCATCCAGTCACCACCGCATTTGAATTGGGTGGGAATTCATAAGAAGCATCTGGAAGACACACTCTTCGGATGTCGCTTGTATATAACATTGGGGAAGATAGATGCACGACAGCAATGTCATTATTATGTGCAGGATAACGGAAGTTTTCATGAACTATTATATTATCGATACTTCGTTGTGCTTGTGGATCATTTAAAAGAAGTCCAAAACTAGCTTTCCATTCCTTAGGATTTTTGGCACTAAAGAAAATAGATTTATTATTAAATGTTCTGTAAATTAAAGATGTAGAAATTAACCTCTTTGTGCTTTAAAATATACTCATGTCAATTATATTGCAATAAACAGGAGAAGATATAGAAACCACACAAGTATAGGTATTTTTAATTCTCATAATGCTTTAAACATGTGAAGCTCTTTATGAAAATATAGTTATAACATGAGGTATGTTCTTTTATTTTTAATTATTTATTTATTTACTTTTAAATTTTTTGGGTTATATTTATTTATTAAATCACTGTGGGAAAAGTTACAAAGCTTTCAAGATTAAGTCTAGGTCATCCAATGATCAAACACCTTTCCCTTCACCAGTATTTATTTTTCACCACCAAGAAACCAAATATACCCCCCTTCCACCCCTTCCAATGCCTGTGAGGCAGATGATTTCTACTTAAGTGTCTCTCTACTTTGATTACATTCATTATTTCAACAAAAGATGCACCATTATTGCTTAGAATTTCCCCCAACAATCAGAACTGTTGAAAAGGCATTGTGAAATAATTTGTTTTCTATAGCTGGTTATGAGAATCATATGCCGTGGCCGCATGATTTTGGATTTCTGATATTTTACTAGGTAAGTCTGGAGAGATTTCTGCCAAGAGCCAGATAATTACGAGATTGGTTTCTCTGCGTGTGGTGTTATGGACGTGCTGAGAGCCACTTGTCGGGGGTAATTTGTGACTTAGGTAGGGCTTGAAGGATGAGCCGCTACCACCCCCCTTCCCATGAGACTGCAGTTGCCCGGTCACTGCTGACTCATACCTGGCTTTCCAATAAGCTCTGAGGCAGTAGCCACCTTGCTGCCGAGGGGGGGCTGCGGGGGTGGGAGGGGGTGGGGGGTAGGCGGAAGGGAGCGACACCCTTTCCCTCCCAGGGAGGCATGGTAATGTAGTTTAACGCATAGTCCATTCACTTTTCTGCCGCAAGCTGCCGGGCTCTGGATTAAGTCCTTTTGCCTCTGGAGCCATGGCTCTGCTGGAGAACATGAGTAATGTTTTAATAACTCACTAGTTACAGTTTAATGAGGCCAAAAAGATAGTACAGATAGCAGGTGTTTGTCTTCCAAACAGCTGATACTGTCTTGATCCCTATTTCCCTGGCCACTACTAAGAGTAATCCCTGAGAAAAGAGACCAAAAGAGACTAGACTAAATGTCTCTTCTGAACACTATTGGGTGTGGCCCTTCGGAACATCCTTCCCTCCACCTAGAAAAGATAACCTTTGAAAACTACATTTTATTCTACATTTGTTTTGTCTAGAAAAAACTCATCAAATTTAGACAGATGAAATGACAATATAAGATAATTAATTTTAACATGAGCAAGGAGATGAGACCATAAAATAATAGATATTAAGAAAATCTTTAATTAATTTAGATCTTGGGCCACACCTGCTAGTGCACAGGGTTTACTCCTGTCTCTTGCTCAGAAAAAACTTCTGGCATTGTTCAAGGGACCAGATGAAGCACTGGGATTGGCCATGTTTAAGACAAGAGTCTTAATCCCTATATTAACTCTCGAGCCAACAAAATTATCTTTTGTAATCATTAAAACAATTAATAATTTGATTCTTAGCAAGAAGAAGAGGAAGGAGAAGGAGTAGGAGGAAGAGGAGAAGGAAGAAGAGGAAGAGGAGAAAAAATGAAGAAGGAGAAGGAAAAGGAATAGAAAAAGGAGAAGACCAAAAGAAAGGTATAAATAGGAAGATATTTCTGACTTTTACTATTAATCAAGGCACCAAAAGTACTGATTTTAAACAAAAAGCACTGCTGAACATTTTCAAACATTCATGTCCAGAGAAATTTTTGTAAATAAAACCAATAAGCACTATAAAACAAAATTAATGAAAACAACCATAAAGCAAAAGAGACAAGTGTGTTAGGTGAAAAACATAAAATTCTAGTGAAAAAAATAAAAATTCATTAAAGGATCATTTCAAATAGGGTTATATACCTCTAAGGGAGGATGCAGAATGAATTCAAATATTTATGATGAAATAAATAAAATGAAATGTATCACTGATAAGAAATACAAAAATCTATCTTTAATTTGTGATTTAAAATTTCTTACAAAATAGAAGTAAACGACTCTAGCTTAATGTATCTCTTCTTTTTTCTTTTTTAATCTTTGTTTTTTTTTGTTTTTTCTTAATAATTCTAACCAGGATGATTTTGCTATCCTTACATTTTTGGTTGTTAATACTAAGGGCTGCTACTGACATCTGGAGACCAGGAATGCTAACAAACATTCAATGATATAGAGGATACCTTCTATAGCAAGTCACTATGAGGTCCAAAACGTCAGTGGTACCAAAGTTAACAACCCTTATCTAATCTCAATGTATGTTATTTTATATTTCACTGTACAATTTGTTGAGCATTGTGCTAATAATTCATTGTAAAATGTGTTGAACAGTTAGAGTCTTAGTCCTGAAAGTTATGTATAGACTGTTAGGTATACTTGAGTATTTTTTGAAGTCCCCCTGGCGGCCACCATCCTCCAGAGGCCACTGGACAATTAGGTTTGGGACCACAGTGACGAGACACACGGGGCCTCACGGGATGAGGGTGTAGCTGGGTCTTTCCTCCTAGTCCCAACAAGACCCCGAGTTGCCACCCACAAATGGCCTCTCTGGCTCCTGATCAAGCTGCTTAACGACCATGATCCCAGAGACTCAGGAACAAATTTCAGAACCCAGCAGATTTTGGCAGAAATCCCTCCAGACTTAACTGTTAAAATTTCGGAATTTCAAAATCGTGTGGCCGCTACTGCAGCTGTGCGACATTATATTGTTATTCATAACCAGCAATAGAAAACAAATTGTCTATGGTTGCCTTTTCAGCAGACCTGAGTGTTGGGTTAAAATTCCAAATAATAATGGTGGGTCTGGTGCCAAAATATTGAATGTAATCAAAGTAGAGATTCTGGCAGCACGGTGGCCACCACCTCAGAGCTTATTGGAAAGCCAGGTATGAGCCTGTGGTGATAGGGAACTGCAGCCTCATGGGAAGGGGGGCGGTACCAGCTCATCCTTCCTGCCCTACTGAGGCCACGAGTTACCCCCCACAAGTGGCTCTCTGGCATGGCCATTACACCAGACACACAGAAACCAATCTTGTAATTATCTAGCTCTTGGCAGAAATCCCTCCAGACTTAATTAGTAAATTATCAGATATCCAAAATCATATGGCTTTCATAACCAGCAATAGAAAACAAATTATTTCACAATGCTTTCCAGCAGTTCAGATTGTTGAAGGGAAATTCTAAACAATAATGGTGCATCTCTTGTCTAAATAATGAATGTAATCAAGTAGAGAGTTAAGTTCATTTATCTACCTCACAGGCATCAGGGGGGGTGGGAGGGGGCGTATATTCGGGTTCTTGGTGGTGAAAAGTAAGTACTGGTGAAGGGAAGGGTGTTTGATCAATGTATGACTGAGATTTAAAACTGAAAGCTTTGTAACTTTTCTCACGGTGATTCAATAAATAAATTCAACAAAAAAAATCAAAAATAAATACAATTTCTGAACTGATAAAAAAGATCAAAGTAGAAAGAGAGTAATGTGGAAATCATCTGCCCCACAGGTAGGGGGAGGGTGTGAGATGGGGGTATACTGGGGTTTTTGGTGGTGTAGAATGGGCATTGGTGAAAATATGGGTGTTTCATTGTATGACGGAGACTTAAACCTGAAAGCTTTGTAACCGCTTTCATGGTTATTCAATAAATAAAATTATAAAAAATGAAAAAAAATTCCTTATGTAAATCAGAGCTTACTTTACAAAACAATGAGCAGCAGTCACAAGCCAGCTATTACTAATCAGAGTTGCTCCACACCGGTGAACGCTGTTCTGTTGAAGGCTAGCTTGCCATGGCCATTCCCCTTCCTCAGCATTTGTCCCACCAACTATTTTGTTGCCAGAGGGAGTAATTGTGCGCTGCCCACAACCTATTCAAAATAGAGATCATGAGCATGTAGTAATATTGATTGCTTATATAACATAATATAGTAAATAATATCTACCATAGCATGAAATGCTATAGTAAACGAATTCCCATAGATGTGTCACCATCAAATATTAACTGGAGAAAATTTCACAGTCTTGGAGAAGTTAGATCTGTCGCGTAGATGAAATGAGATTTCTGAGAATTCAAAGTAGATTGACATTCTCTTCTCCCGACTTTACCTAACTGGTAAGCATGGTCTTGTTATCTCCAGGTGGTGAAATAAGTTCACACTCAAGTCACAATATACGATACCTGGTTAAAAGCAACAATACTTGAAGAAAGTATTATTCTTCAGTAATACTTTTTCAGAACTATACTATTCTTTGACTTGGAATTATGCATTATCATCTATTACAGATTCAGAGAGAATACAGAATTTAAGTCTTGAAAGCAAATCTGTGATAGTATATGACTTCACAATTGTCTTACACTCTGGTTTTCTTGACTATATCTTTTAATTCCAACTTCAGCAATGAGCTTGTTTCTTAAGAGTTCACAGTATATTAAAATTAAATACCATTACTAAATATTCTCACAGGGCAAGCCTTACACTTAAAAAAACATATTTCTGACTTTACCACAGAGAAAGTATGATATTAAGAAGCTCTAGAGTTATTGAGATTGTGTCTTAGAGGTAGAGTCCATGTAGGGGATCTTGGATTCAACCCCCCAGAGTACCCTCCTCTAAAGAAACTTCCTCCAAGAAATGCTTATAGAAATGAAGTTTTTACAGTATTCTCCTTGAGACATCTTCACATAACTATATCTGTCTGCAAATGCCTTTTCTGCAATGGCTCTATTCTTTAGCATTTAGAGAGAGTGAAAATTGCTATCATCAGTGTGTGCACAGATAAAATCAATGTAGACCAGAGACAATTTTGTGTGTATCTGGAGATAATTTAGGTTGTCATAATTAGGGGACAAGGGACTGCCACGTAATGGGTAGAGACAAGGAATACTGTTAAATATCTGTAATGCAGAAGTTAGTCCCTGAAATTAACTTTTACCTGGTCCAGAATGTCAGCCTTAATGGAAGCCTGAACACCTTCACAGAGATGTTAATTTTGTGTCTAAAGATCTTTTCACATGGTTTTCCTTGAAGTTGAAAAGGCATTTGAAGCACAATGAAGGTAGCTTGCTATTTATGTAAGACCTTTGTTAATCCTCCAAAATTTGTAAGTTTGTGTCTCACTCTGACTCCGATTGTTTTCTTCATGAAACCCAAACCTCAGTTTGCTGTCATCTTCATGATATTTACTCAGTTGAGGCGACTTGAGTTGCTACTTGTAAATGAGAATGCTCTCACACTGACTCATGTTGCTTTACAACTCCCATTTCTATTCCTCTTTCTTTTCCTTTATCATGAAAGCTTCTGAGGATAAAACAAATAATCCAGAACTCAAAGGTGTAATGGTTCTTTCCTCTCCTCCTTTCTGTTTGGACTACTCCTAAAGGAAGTTGGCTTCTATCCGGCTTCCTTTAACTGAATCTAAAAACAAAGATGCTTTTTGGTTGGCTAGGATAACCTCCTCCAGGTGACTGTACTCGCTTCTCTGTTTCTGTTCAGATACAGAATTTTAATTTAATTTATGTCCATTTATCAATGTCCAATCTGAGTTCTCATTTACTTGTTGACTATTGTATTTGTTAAGCTTTCAGTGTCTACCTCGGCACCATTAGCTTTTTTATTACCTCTGACAAATGTTCATGGTATCTTGTCATTTTATGTCAAAAGAAATCATAAGGTACATTTCAAGGATAAGGAATATAGTGAGGACTCGTGATTTGATATTGAAATATTCAAAGAATATATATTTCAATATCTTCCACCTTCCTACCCCTCTTATTTTTACTCCCAATCACTTACACATTATATTTATGTATCCCAACTATTCTTTAATTTCATTTGATTTTTTTGGGTCTACTTCCATGGATTCCCTATGCATTGTGATATAGCATGTGATAATATGCTATATGACATCAGTCACTTTAAGGCCAAGTATTGTCAATTTTACAGAGGTTTCCAAAAAGCTTGATTCCTGTTACACTTTTATAGGCTGTTCATTTATTTTCAAAGCAAGTGTTTTTGCTTTCAAAGAATTGTGTTTCATTAGAAATAACTCTTTGTTTATGAACTTACATATATTGAGAAGATCTTCTGCCGTTGGCATTGGCATATCTAAAAGTTAAGGGAAAAGAAAATAAAAATATTTATATTATGAACACATTTTGTTGTAATATTATTTGTTTTCAGGAACACATTATACAGTCATAACTGTAATACAATCTTGACCATATAAATTCTCTGTCTATAGACTTCTAGAGGGACTAACGAAAAGCTTAGAATTTGTTCCGATTTTTTTATAAAGACCCCCATTCCTCATATAACATTTGAAACAGAGGTCTGGTGTTAAAAAGTGCACTTTTTAACATATGTGAGAAATGCTCTTTCATGTTATTTTTATTATAAATCACTAGATAACTGAATGTCTTCAATACTCTTTGTTTTGATTCAAATATTTGTGGATCATCTGTTATTCCAAGTACTAACCAGGCCCGACCCTGCTTAGCTTCCGAGATCAGACGAGATCGGGCGCGTTCAGGGTGATAGCACAGCGGTAGGGCGTTCGCCTTACAAGCGGCCAACATGGCCGACCCGAGTTCGATTCCTCCGCCCCTCTCGGAGAGCCGGGCAAGCTACCGAGAGTATTCGATATGCCAAACACAGTAACAACAAAGTCTCCAATGGAGACGTTACTGGGCCCGCTCGAGCAAATCGACGATCAACGGGAGGGCCTTTACCTTTACCTTTATCTGTTATTCCAGTCACAGAATGATGACTAGTTTAATACAAATTTGGACATGTTTTATTTTGGAATAATTCACAAAGTGCATTTAAGTCTTCACCTTAGATGCCTCAATATCTGCCAATAGGAATCCTTTGAACTGTCCCAGATGGATAATAGGAAATGTGGTAGTTAAAACTGTAGGAACCAGGCCAGGGAGGCAAGGCAGTGCACAAAGCATGTTGGAACCAATGTAAGATGGGAGTTTATGAACAAAAACTTCCTCCTTTAGTTACAGGAATAAACAGCTTTGAACTTATTCAAAAGGTTCCAAGTTTCCATGACCAGAGACATAAGTACACAGGAGTAAAGGCACTTGTCTTTCAGCCCACCAACCCTGGTTCAATTATCGGCCTTAATTATGGTCTCCTGACTATCCCCAGAAGTAATACCTGAGCACTGCCTAATATGACCACCCTCACCCATTAAAAAATAGTCCCCAATGTCCCTACTCTGACCGCATTTTTCCTCTTTGCTATTATTTTTACCTTTTTAAAGAAAAAATGTTTTATCAAAGCACCATGATTTACAGAGTTATTCATAAGTTGATTTTTCAACACACTATGTTCCAGCATTAGTCTTACTCAACCAGTGTGTCCCCGTCTCCGCCCTCCTCCTTCCCCCTACAATCTCATCCCACTTCCTTGGCCCTCCAGTCCCTCCAGCCCCTTAGATGCCTCAATATCTGCCAATAGGAATCCTTTGAACTGTCCTAGATGGATAATAGGAAATGTGGTCACCTGCCAGCCTGACAGGCACATTTTAAAATTTAGTTGTTGAAGTTTGTATCTCTTGCTCTCAGTGTTATTAATAACTCAGTGGTTTGGATATGCACCACTGATGTACTCACATCCTCTTGACCCTTGCCTCCCACTCCCCTTGCTATCTGTCTCTTCTACCACCTTTGATTTGGTCCTTTACTTTTTTTTGCTTTTTGAGTCACACCCAGTGATGCGCAGTGCACAGGGGTTACACCTGGCTCTCCACTCAGGAATTACTCCTGGCAGTGCTCGGGGGACCATATGGGATGTTGGGAATTGAGTCTGGGTAGGCCGGCCGCCTGCAAGGCAAATGCCCTACCCGCTGTGCTATCGCTCCAGCCTCTTGGCCCTTTACTTTTATTTAATCTACTACTGATGGCATTCAAGTCTCAATAACTCTTTTGAATGGAAAATGATAATTACTCTACTTTCAAGACAAGAAACCCATTCAAGTTTATATTTTCATCTTCAAAATTAATACCCCCAGGAGACTGGGGAAATACTGCAGTGGCTCATCACTTCTCTTGCATATGGTTGACCTGGATACCACATATTGACACTGAGCACTGTCAGGAGTAACCCTGAGCATAGAAACAGGAGTAAGTTTTGAGCACAACTAGGTGTGGCAACTCCCCTCACCACCCCCAAATGCCAAATTAACATTCTTTATGTGGTAAGTTTCATTTTCAAAGCATTTAGTTTGCATACTATACCATACACTTCAATTTAATAAAAAGACCGATTCAGCATTGTCTGTTTATTCTCAGACATTTAGGGAATATTGCAGTATGAAATTTTTCTGTGGGGCCTCACATCCTTGCAGAACTGCTATTGAATCGCTTCTCAGTCTTTTGGCAAAGATCACATGTAGTATCTGTTCTTATCAGAATTACCATTGATACATAAAAGTTTATTTTCAAGAAGGAATTATCATGGCTTTATTATAAGTTAAATACCATAAATTTCAATGTAGGTTCATTTTTATTATGCTCTTAGATTTCTAGAAATCCAGGAGGAAGTATCCAGTTCTATGTAACAATTCCATTTTTTTTTTACCTTACATTGCACAACAAATCTAGAGACAAAAGAATTCCTTTCCCTATAGACTCAACCTGTCCGAACAGAAAGACAGACACAGTCAACAGTCATGTGTGCTGAGTCCGTAGTAGCCACACCTAGATCAACAGGGAGATGGCGTATTTCCTTTAATTTAATTTAATTTAATTTAATTTTTTTGTTTTGCGTATTTCCTTTTAATCTCTCAGATCTGCCTTCCAGAGGTTTATTCTTATTTGACATGATATATTTTGAGTTTTATTTTAAGCTTTGTATGTTGAATAAAATATATAGGACCATAATAAAATTGTTTGGAAATAACTCTTTTAAGCTGAGTGGAAAATGTTAATTCCTCTACCTTCAAGACAAGAAACCCAACTATGTTCATAGACCTTTTCTCTCAAGGTTTCCTTCACTTATGCATGACTTGCTAAAGGGAAAAATGTCTTTGATCTGTCATTTTTTTTAGAAATATTTGTATTATATCAGAGTTTACTATATAACTATCACTTTGATAAGTACAAGACACATGCAATGGACAGGGAAATAATTTAACCTGTTAATCTTTTGTACTGAGTCACTGCCATGCATCTTTTGTTTCTTCTTTTTGACTCATAGTCAGAGGCTGGAATCTTTTGGATTTACCTTGGAATCAGGGTCTCAATACAGTAACCTTAGATACTCTGTTTACCATATATGTAAATGTGCCATACAAGGAAGTGACTCTGCCCCAGGGAAGAAGGAGATACCATCAAAGGATAAGATCAATCCATTTTAAGAAACAGCTCAACAAATACTCAAGGGTCAGGAATGAGTTTTTGGATCCTAAGAACCAATGAAGAACAAATGAAAATTCTGCCCTCGGCGAACTTGCAGTATAGCAGAAGAGATGTACAACTAAGTAGATCATTGAATATCCTGTTGTAATAGGACAGATACGAGGGCTTGGGGCTTTAGTGTGCTAAACAAAACCATATAAAAAAGAGGGATTTTGGAGATGTTAAACATGCTTTTGGTGGGAGTCAAGATGTTGTCTTACTGAGGCAAAATAAACACAATTTACTCACTGTTAAATGTTAGAAGAAAAGTTGCTTAGATGGTTTCTTTTTAAAAAAATTTTTTATTATTTTATTATTTAATTTTTGGGCATTTTTTTTCTTGTCAGACCTTGTGTTGCTCAGGCCTTCTGGCTCTGCACTCAGGGATCACTCCTGCTGGGCTCAGTGAACCATATCAGTGATCAAACCTGGGTTTAGTGCATACAAGAGCCAGGTTCTATCTACTGTACTTCTCTGGCTTACAAAGTTATTATTATAATTTCCATACACATATTTCCAACCCCACACCCATCACTGCTTACATGGTATCTTTAAGGGATTTTGGATCTTTGTGTTACAGGTCCATTACTTTAGTGTTGCGGGTCCACTTATGGCACCTTTCTGGGGTTTTAAGTAAGAAGCACGATTGTATACCATGTTAATAAGGAAGACTCCCAAAAAGCCTAGGAGCTAAACATTGTGTTCCTTAAAGGAGGAAATCTGAAACAGAATAATGATGGGAAACTAAACTGCATGAGTCTAAAATAAAGGAATAATTTTGTAACAGTGGTAGATAAAATTTTATTCTGATAGTGTATATCTTACATTAGATAAAATCTTTTTTATTATTGAGTGGAGTGTACCTAAGTTAATCATTTGCTTGTTGAAGGACATCTGTAGTGTATTCATTTCTGTCTATCAGGAAGAAAATTTCCCACAAACATTTATGAACACATTTTTATTTGTGCACTAAGTCATTATTTGCCTGGTAATGCCCAAGGTGCAAATTCCTGGAATATGGTAATTGCATATTTAATTAAAAAAATCAGGATCTGCTGGACTACATGGTTAGCATGTGGGCCCTTGGAATCAGTCCCTGGACCTCATGTTCACTGACCAACACTGGGTGTGGCCCCCAAAACAAAACAAAAAGAAATTACCAAAGTGTGTCAGAGTGAATGTGCCATTTTGTGTTCCCATAAGCATTGTATGAATAATCAAGCTTCTTTATATGCTTGGCAACACTTGAGTCTGTCATTGTAAATTTTCATTGAAATTAAATATTTTAAAATTCATGTAGAAATACCTCATTGTAGTTTCAAGTTGTAGGTCTTTAGTTATGCTATTAAGTTTCTGTTCATTTGCTTATTTGCCATCTCTATACTTGTTGGTCAGATACCTCCATATCTTTTGCCAGCTTACTTTCTTTTCTTTTTTTCTCTCCCTCCCTTCCAACCTTCCTCCCTCATCCCTCCTTTCCCTCCCTCTCTCCCTCCCTCTCTCCCTTCCTTCCTTTCTTCCTTCCTTCCTTCTTTTTTTTTTTTGATTTTGGGGTTGCACTTGGTGGTTCTTGGGGCTTACTCCATGATCTATGCTCAGGGAAAAATCCTGATGGTCCTCAGGGGACCATCTGGAAGGCAGCTATGCTAACCACTATACTACCAATTCAAGGGGACCATCTGGGGTGCTACATACAAG